GGAGCAGGTAACTTTTTTTTTTTTAAGATTATTAATTTTTTTTTCTTTTTTTTGGAGAGGTTTTTGCTTTAGGGCACGTGCGCTCTCCAGACAGAGAGACAGAGAGACAGAAAGCAAGAAATCACCCCCGAGGGAGAATGGCCACGCCTCAGTCCCTTCTCTTCCATTCTCCTCTTGGGATCTTGGGCACGCACGCACAGCCACCTGGCGTGAGTTTTAAGCCACCGGGTCAGAGACGCAAACCGCGGTCAACTACGTGGGAGCCCAGCAACATAGCCATTACGCTAACTGCCGGTCCCAGATTATTGACTAAGTTTTTGATGGCAGTGCATGCCACTTTATTATAACTTATTGTGTTTGACTTCTTTTGTTTGAAAATGTAATTAAAAACATTGAATCAGATGGTACTTAAGGACACAGCTGCTGTTTTTGAGCATATCTAAGTTATGGCAAAGTCCCAAATTTACCTTTCAAACTATTTTTTTAATTTACGTTTTTTACCAGAAAAAGCCATATTCTCTTAGGCTTTTTGCCTTTGCTGCACCTTCATTTTTATTATTACCACTGATAAATTGCCTTCCATCTAGAAAGAGCTATAGATTTTTCACTCCATAATACTTGATGACAAATATAAAACCAAAAAGACCTTTTATAACTTAAACCAAACCCAATATTCTCACAAAGATACTGAAAGTATCTTTTCAGTGCTTTTTTTTAAAGACGGATTTTTGCTTTAGGGCAAATGCAACCTCTGGAGAGACAGAGAGACGGAAAGTAAGAAATCAGCCCACAGCAGGATGGCCACACCACCGTCCCTTCTCCTCCGTTCTCCTCTTGGGATTTTGGGCACACATGCACAGGAGCCTGGCATGAATTTTAAGCTGCCAGGTCTAGGAGTCTAACTGCAGTTGACTACATGTGAGTCCAGTGATGTAACCATTATGCCATCTGCTGGTCTCAATTTTCAGTATTTTTAAAAAATAGAAACTAGAGCACCATAGCTATGAAAAGCATTGCTACTCGATTGCCCAGCAACATCTTGTGCCATACACAGTATACACTTTGAGAGAGAAAAGTACATTTGTTGAGAGCATTTATGGAGATAATTTTTTAAAGTGGCAAGAAGAGAATTGGATAACATTTTACAAAGAGGATATTTCTTTAAAAAATGTTTTTAAGGTTATTGCCATAGGGCACGTGCATTCACTGGAAAGAGACAGAGAGTGAGAGGGAAAGTGAGAAATTGCTCCCCAGGGGGTATGACCACACTGTAATCCCTTCTCTGTTCTCCTCCTGGGATTTGGGGCATGCCTACACATGTGCCTGGTGTGAGTTTCAAGCCTCCAGGTTCAGAACTCAAACTGTGGTCAGCCATTTGGGAATCCTGCGCCTTAACCACTATGCCACCTGCTGGTCCCTCTTTTCAGCATCGTTGTAATGTAATAATTAAAGGAAAATTGCTTCCCATAGAGAGAAATTTTAAAATTCCATGAAGGCTGTTCTCAGCATGGCCCAAAGGCTCTTGACAACCACTTCCCTCTCAACCTTTCTAGTCACAGGGTACAACTCACACTTCTAGAAAGAACCCAAGATTATCCACCCTTTCGTTCTTTGTTTCAGATTTTCTCTTGCCCGGCATACATAGCACTCTCTTGCTTATATTGTGCCACACGCTTTCCATGAGTCTATTAATCTACACATTCTTCTACCATTCCTCTACCATTCCTCCACCATAATTGCTCGTACCATGATTGTCTCTTATGGTAGACAAACTCTCTTTCTGAGGCAGACTACTGTTGCATCTTGTGTTAGGACCATGAATAGACAACTAAATTTTCAGGTAAGATTTAAATCCCAAATGGAAAGAGTTAAGTTTTCTAGGCAAAAAAAAAGGTCTTGGCTCCAAGTGCCAGTGGGTGAGAATGAATATGACTTGTTTCAGAAATTGGAGCCTGAGGATAGTGGAACTATTACATATAGAATAAGAGCAGCTTGGCATCCTGACAGAGCTTTATGCGTCAGAATATGATTTTGTATTACATATCATATGCTGGTAATCTTCTTAATTAAGTGACAAACTTATGTCTGGCCCCAGTTTTAGGATTTGCTGAAGTTGTTATGTACGTTGGAGGATAAAGTAGATGCGACTGAGTGAATATGTGAATTTTTAAAATCAAAATGCAATTATTTCTAAATTTGAAAATTAGGGAATTAATAAATAACATATTGTATAACTCTACAGTGGTGTATTATACAGCAGTGGAAATGATACCATATATCTGCCTTTATTGCTATATTGTCAAGGGAAAAGGATACATTTATTTACATGTAATTTCAATATTACCTTACATGTTGTTTAAACATATGTAGTCTACATATAAAAGGATATGCATATATATGAAAGAAGGTTTTAGGATAGACACTAAAATATTAGCAGAGGTAGTTTCTTAATGGGGTTATGTATATATATACATAAATCATATTGTAATGCATTATATATAATATATATAATATTTATCTTTATAGCTTTATTTTATATTTCAATTTGTTTTGTAATGAGTAAGACTCTTTATAATTAGAATAAAAACAATAAATCATTTAAATAAAAAAGAGATAGATGGTATCCTGTTTCTTTTGTGATCTTTAATGCAAACAGAATGTACTTATTGATTGTTGTACTTTTAAAAATTACTTTGAAAAATTAAAAAAAAAATTTGGCTAGAGGGTTTGTGAACTCACCAGAGAGAGACATTGGTAAATTTATCAGCGGTAAATTTTATTGCTAAATTTCACCCTCATGGAAAATGGTCATAATCCTTTCATCATCTCTCCTAATTTTGGGGATTTGGGGCATGTAAACACATGCCCCTGGTGTTTCTCAAGCCACTGGGCTCAGGACTTGAACTGTATTGTCAGACAAATGAATCCAGTTGCCTTAACCACAAGGCCACAGAGTTGGTCCTATCTTGAAAAATTTTAAATCTATAGAATATTTGAAGCAGAAATATACTGAACAATGCATGATTCACCTAGCTTTGCCCATTGTTGCAGATATTGCAACACTTAACCCCTGATTACTTCGTATGTATCTCCTAAAAAACAAAGACACTGGGGCTTGCAGATGGCTTGGTGGCTAAAGCTCTGGATCCCACATGGCTGACTTTGAGGTTCAAAACCTGGACCCAGTGGCTTGAAAAACACACAGAGTGTGTGTGCATGTGTGCCTAAAATTCCAAGAGAAGAATAGAGGAGAAGGGATTGTGGCATGGCCATCCCTTGAGGGGTGATTTCTCACTTTCCTTCTCTCTTTCTGTCTCTTTGGTGAGTGCCTGCACCCTATGGCAGAAACCTAAAAAAAAAAAGAAAGAAAAAGAAAAAATGATTATTGCTTACCTGTCACTGTGCCGTGTAAGTCATTTGGCTGTACTTGATGGCTTAGAGACTTGGGCTGAGGCTTCCTCCATCTAGTGATGCCACTTTCTATTCTAAAGCTTCACTGATGATAGAGAGAAAACATGGAGAACTCAGATCCCCTCAACTGACTTGAACTGAAAGTGACATTTGAATTAGTTACATGGACTTAACCATAAAGGAGCATGTGGACTATTTGGTGATCTACAGATCACTGATGTGGATTGATTCCAGGGAGACAGCCTGGTGAACAGGCTTCAGAGGCAAGCTGACCACTGTGGGAAGCCTTGGTTTTTAAGGTAAAGGACATAGCTCTAGCTAGTTCCATTTGTCTTTCCCCCTACTCATAAAAGGTGTCTTCTTGATCTCTGATAAAGAACAGTTGATGTTCAAACTCCAGAAAGACGACTTTGGAGATTGTTATGCTAAAATGTTTTCTTAAAAAAACAATGAAAAAGTTAAAAGAATAGTAGTACAGTGGACAGCATTTTTCCCTGAGCTAGTCTGTAAAATACATGGTATTATTCAAATTCTGGTTAATTATTTGTTACTTTCCAGTTTGCCTGAAGTCTCCAGAATGAAATTGAGTAGCTATAAGCACTACCTTGGAAAGGTGGGGATTTAGGAAAATACTTTAAACTTTTTGTTGCCATTTATATGTTCACAAGAATTCTTAAAAGTGACACTTGTCTGCCCAATACAGTTAGTGAAATACATGTTTCTGAAGAATAAGTATTATAAACAGGTTTTCAGAACAAAATGCTAGATATTAAAAATACTATCTTCTCAAAATACTTTGTGAATACATTTCCATAAGTTTTTCTTTGACCAGATGTAGAACTTTTCTATGGAAAAGATTTTTAATCTTTTTTTGTCATTGCTGTTATTTTATTTGTAGTGTTTTGCAATGAATGCCTGGTACATTGAGAATAATTTTCTCAATGGTGAGGGCTGCAAATGAATGTTCAAATGTAGTGTGCCAAATCTATTCCTTTTTTCTGTTGGCTATATCATGTCTTCTCAATTCTCATTTTTGTATTATAATGTCATTGGCGTGTATCTTGGTCTTATCTTTTTTTTTGAGAGGTTTTCACTATAGGGCGCATCAGACAGAGAAAAACAGGGAGATAGAAAGCGAGAAATCCCCCCCCCCCCAGAGAGGATGGCCACGCCGCAATCCCTTCTGCTCCATGCTCCTCTCAGGATCTTGGGCACACATACACACGCGCCCGACCTGAGTTTAAGCCATCAGGTCCAGGACTCGAACCGCGGTCGACTACGAGGGAGTCCAGTGACATAGCCATTACGCTAACTGCTGGTCCCTTTAGTCTTATCTTTTATGACCAGTGTTACAATATACAAACAACAAGCAACAATTATTATATAATATATTCCTAAATTGTCATCTTTTTTAATTTTTCAGATTGCTTGAAAACTCCTAATGCAAAGTTTATAAGATGAATAACCATTTTAGCATTTGATTAATTGAAGGTTCACTATTCCTAAACCTGACTGAATAGAATTAAGTTCTGTTCACATTCTAAGAACAATAAATTTTACTTGTTACTCCTCACAATCTTCTTTTTTAGGCAATAGAGATTTTGCCAAGGATGATCCATTGGAGTTTAAATCCCACCAGTGGTTTGGAGCATCTGTGAGGTCAAAACAGGATAAAATTTTGGTAAGTCTTTTGAACATTTATTCACAGATGAGTATAGTCTATATATGTAGAGACACAAATTTTTGTATTTTCAAGCTGGTGGTAAAATTGAGTACACTCAAAAGGTTCAGGGTATAATGAAATGATGTATTTCTGGTCAAAGGGCACGTCACTGAAGAATATAAGCTCTCTGCCCTCCTTGGGCTTAGCTCTGCTTTCCCTCCTTCATTCCTAATTATTCATTTCTTCTGCTTCTCTTGGTAGTTCCCATCAGTCTGTTTCTGTCCAGTCAAGTTTAGGAATAGTGTGCCTTTGATTAAGGAAATGCTTTACACCTCCTTTCTGTAAAAATAGAATAAACAACCTTCCTTTTACCTCTTCTTTCCCTCTGCTCATGTCCCATGCTCTTGCTCCTCATTTCAAATACTTTTTGAAAATGTTTTCTGTATAAACCATCTGTACTTCTTCACTTTATGTTCTCTTCATAACCACTCTAGTCAGGCAGAGGTAAGGCCACGCTCACCATTGACTTTCAGATCCTGAAATCCACTGGTGTGATACATGTAGGATCTCTTGATGATTCATTTTTCCCACTGGTACTTACTTTTCCTTGCCCTCTCAACACTGTTCAATAAAGTCTGTTGATCACCCCTCCCACCTCCTTTTTCTTAGTTGTCAGAGAGACAGAGAAGGAAAGCGAGAGGGAAAAAGCATCCCCACAGTAGGACCTGGTCAGATCATACTCAATCCCTTCTCCATTTCTCTGTTCTATCAGGAAAGTCTGTTGATCACCCCTCCCACCTCCTTTTTCTTAGTTGTCAGAGAGACAGAGAAGGAAAGCGAGAGGGAAAAAGCATCCCCACAGTAGGACCTGGTCAGATCATACTCAATCCCTTCTCCATTTCTCTGTCCTATCAGGATTCAGGGCACACATGCACCCATGCCTGGTATGTTTTCAAGACACTAGGGCCAGGACTCATACCTCAGTTGGCTCTGTGGGATCTTGGTTTTCTTAATCCCAAAGCTATGGGCTGGCCCTGACCCCTTTTTCCTAAAGGTAATTTTCTTGCCTTGGTCTCTGCCAGCACTATACTTACCTGACTTTTCTTTGTCTTGCTGACTCTCCTTTTTTCTCTCTTTTAATATCTTCTCTTCTGCCCAATTTATAACTTCTGGGGTATACTTGAGCTCTATTCTGGGCCCTTTGTTTTCTCCAACTGTAGTTTTACCTAGCGGCATCTGTCTTGTCCTATGGCTATAAATAAAAAAAAATATGTTCTTTTCTATCCTGCAGCATGCCCCTATCCATACTTACCTGGACCAATGCAATGGCTGTTCTCATCTCTGCCTTCTCTCTTGCCCCAACTAGTGTGTTTTCAATGGAAGGACCAGAGTAAACTAAAGTATTTCACCTTCATCATTAAAAGTCAAGTGGCTTTCTATTACTCTCTAAATAAATATTGCAACTTCATTCTGGTTTATTAGTGCTAGGTTACAGATATCTCTTTGGCATAATCTCACTTTATCCCACATACTTCAGCCACAGTGATTTTTATTATTTCTTACACATACTAAGTCATTTCAGTAGTACCTTACTGTTATATAGCTTCTGCTTGTACTCGTTGTCTTACTTTTCACTTTTCTAGATTCTTGTCATTTAGATGTTAGCTTTAATTTTATTTTCCTCTGAGCGCCCTTCCCTATAACTACCTAGTTATTATTTATTATTATTATTTTTTAACTGATCTGATTATGGGACATTAGGGAAGGATTTATTGGAAGGTGAAGTTTCAACCCGACTTTAAAAGATATGTCACATTTTGGTAATTGGAGATGAAGGATGGGCTTGAGAATGGGCATTCTTGGCGGAAAACAGGACAAAGAAGCAGAAGTAGCAAATTATCCTCTCTGAAGCATCATGTATGCATAGAGAAATAGCAGTGATTACCTCCTTTGTATTGGCATCTGTAAGGCTGATGTTAGCATTTTGCTTTAAAATGTATTAGAAAAATCAGGGGCAGCAGGTAGCATAGTGGTTAAGGAGCTGGACTCCCACAAGGTTGACCGCAGTTCACATGTTGAACTTGGCAGCTTGAAACTCACAACGGGCACATATATGTGTGCCCAGAATCCTGAGAGGAGAATGGATGAGAAGGGATTGCAGCCTGCCATTCCCCCTGAAGGGGGTGATTTCTTGCTTTCTGTTTCTCTTTCTTTCCAGTGAGTGCACATGTCCAATAGCAAAAATCTCTGTCAAAAAAAAAATATTATAGAAAAAAATCCATTGAGGACCAGCTTGGTGGCACAGTAGTAACACCTTTCTCTAGCAGTGCTGGATCCATGTGAAAGGCCTTCTGGTTCTCCAGGCGACTTGCATTTACCAGGCATGTGTGATCCTGGCTAGTAGGGAAGGGGTGGAGGGGCAGATTGTGGTGTGAGACCCTGTTCAGGATGTCTGTCTCTTTTCCTCTGTCACTTCCATGAAAGAAAGAAATAAACAAAAAATTTGAACTTTTTTTCTAGTAAATTGTTACACTTTTGGTTAATTACTATGCAATTAAAACATACATTATTCTACCACTTCTACATAGTAATGAACTCTAGAACTTTGAAAACAAAAAGGTCCCAGTTAAAAGTAAATCAAATAAGCACTGCAAATTTTTTCACTTTTCTTATGTAATACATTATTGCTGTCTAATTTAGGGGGTTGATCCTGTATTCATGAGAGTGTTTCATAGTTCAAAATTTAATTGGGGGGGAACCAGCAGTTAGCATAATGGCTATGTCGCTGAACTCCCATATAGTCGACTGTGGTTTGAGTCCTGGGCCCGGTGGCTTAAACTAATGCCGGGCACATGTGTGTGTGTGTGTGTGCCCGAGATCCTGAGAGGAGAATGGAGGAGAAGGGATTGTGGCATGGCTATCCCTGGGGGGTGATTTCTCGCTTTTTGTCTCTCTGTCTCTCATTGTCTTTCTGGCGAGCGCATGCACCCTATATCAAAAACCTCTCCAAAAAAAAAAGTTAATTTGTGGGCAGCAGGTGGCCCAGTGGTTAAGGACTAACCATTTTGAAAGAGAATTTATGGGCTACAAATATGGCCTTCAGAAGATATTAAAATGTTTATTCATGAGGCTAGCAGGTGGTATGGTGGTTAAGGCACAGGACTCCTATGTAGCTGACCACAGTTCTAGTCCTGGACCCTGTGGCTGGAAAATCACGCAGGGCACATGTGCATGCAAGGCCCAAATCCTGAGGAGAATGAAAGAAAAGTGACTGTGGCATGGCCTTCCACCCTGGGGGAGTGGGAGTGATTTCTCACTTTCCCTCACTTTCAGTCTCTTCAGTGAGCTCATGTACCCTATCACAAAAACCTAAAAAACAACAAAAAAAGTTTATTCACTACTGTACTAAGGAATTTAAGATATAGGACAGTTTGATTAATTTTTTTTATTGATGGTTAGGAAGTGATGCTATATTCTCAGGTAATATATGTTGTCTGAAATGCTAATTATTCAGAGAATGTTTCTGTCATTGTCTAAACTTTTGATTGTAGGCCTGCGCCCCACTGTACCACTGGAGAACTGAGATGAAACAGGAGAGGGAGCCTGTTGGAACATGTTTTCTTCAAGATGGAGCCAAGACTGTTGAATACGCTCCATGCAGATCAAGTATGTATATAGGAAGCTGTACCAGCTTTTTAGAAGAGGAGTGGGAAGCCAAGTTCGTTAAAAATGTGTGTATGTGTGATGAATACGTAGATACATGGTAACAGTGATGAGAGAATAATGGAAACAAGCCTACTAATGAAATGAAATTACAAGTGTGAAGTAAGCAGGTTTATATTTTTTCTCTAAGAACTCATTTTATCTTCCTTGGTTAGTAATAACTAATATCTGAGTCTGGAAACCTGTAGTTTTAATCTTTAGTCAAAATATGTTGAGTTGAACTTTTGTAACATAGATGTAGACTCGCAGAACTGAAGATTCCAATTCAGTAGATGTAGGTCTGGCCTGGGTGCCTGCTTTTTTGTTGTTGTTGTTCTGTTTTGTTAAGAATTATTGGGACAAGCAGGTGGTGTACTGATTAAGGCTCTGAACTCCCACATGGCGAGTCCTGGACCTGGTGGCTTGAAACTTATGCCATTGTGCTTTCCCACAATCCCTAGAGAAGAATGGAAGAGAAGGGATTGCAGCGTGACCATCTCCCCAGGGGAGGTGATATCTTGCTTTTTGTCTGTCTTTCCAGCAGACAAATGCACATGTCCTATAGCAAAACAAACAAAACAAAACAAAACAAAACAAAAAAACTTGTCTCTCTTGAGCAAAGAATTACTTATTTAATTAATTTAATTTATTACTGTTTTTGTTATTTATTTGCTAACGGTCATATGCACTCACCAGAGGCTGAGGGAAAGTAAGAAAGTAAGCCACCAGGTACAGGTTCAAACCACAGGCCATGTTGGGGAGTCCAGTGTCTTAACCATTGTGCCCCCTGTTAGCCCTGGTACTTGCATTTTTAACAAGCCTTCATTCCACTGGATGCCAAAGTTTGAGAACCAGTGCTATGTATTAATGATGATGTTAAAAAAAATAATGCCTTAAAGAACAGAGTTTATGTAGGAAAGTGAACATTGAACTCATGAGTCCTGAGTCTAAATTTTTTCGGTCTTAATCAGAGTTTCTTTGTTGATCTGCTACAGATTCATCTTTCTTTTGGTCATCTAGAAGGCCTCAACATTCTTCTCTAATAGTATTTGAAATTTTAAATGACACTTAAAATAATTAATTGTGGCTGAAGATGACTTCACGTACTTAAAAGTTTGATTATGCGTTTCTGAATTCTGTACATCCTTTTTCCTCTGAGAGTCTGTCTGTCGAATGGCCACTACAGCAGATCCTCTTTATGCCAGAAGCATAAAAACAGATTATGGAAATACATCCTTTTTCCTCTGAGAGTCTGTCTGTCAAATTGGCCACTACAGCAGATCCTCTTTATAACAGAATCATAAAAACAGATTATGGAAGTGCTGTTTCATATTTATACCTGGAGCACTTTTTTAGGACATTACTTTTTATGTTCTACTGGCCACCAAATATTGGGTTATTGGAAAAGTCATGATGCATTTTTGTATTAAAAAAAATAGAAAAACACATCATGACTTTTCAGACAACCCAGTAGTTCAGTAGAGAGAATTACTATCCTAAGTTCAACATGTAAGATTCTTTCTGATAGATTATTATTATTTTTTTCTTTTTTAAGTGACGTGTAATACCAGTCATAGAAACTGCTCTGTCCTCAAAATTCTAAGTAGTTAAACTTCTGGGGAACTGCAAATTATTTAATTAAATACTTATTTTTATTAACTTGCCCTCTCGATTCAACATGTTGTAAATAGCAAGTAAACATCAAAAGGATTATACCATCTCAGATCCATATTGTGTAGTAGGATAGAGTAAAAATTAGGTCAGAAAGCATATCCCTGGGGCCAGCAGGTAGTGTGGTGGTTAGGCACTGGACTTCCTACATGGTCAACCATGGGTCAAGTCCTGGACCTGACGGCTTGTTTTCTCGCATTCCCCTCTTCTTTCTCTCTCTCTTTGTTTCTCTCTGGTGAGAACAGAGCAGTTCCTATGACTAGTATTACATGTCACTTAAAAAAGAAAAATAATAATCTAGCAGAAAGAATCTTACCTGTTGCACTTAGGGTAGTGATTCTCTACTGAACTACTGGGTTGTCTGAAAAGTCATGAAAAAGTCATGATGTATTTTTCTATGATTTTTTTCCACCCTGTAGTAAATTTAAAAATATAATAATAATAATAATAACAAACAAATAAATAATTCTTTAAAATAAAAAAGTATACCCCTCTGGGGGAAGTGGGTTGCCTGATCTTCAGTGTTTGATGCTGTCTGTATTGCTACCTTTATATTGGTATTTTGGTCTTGGTACTGCCATCTTTAATAGCATATGGAAAACTTGAGAAATGAATTTGTATTCTTAATTTTTATATTGCAAAAAATCTTTTTGTTATATGAAGATTATTTTATAGCTATGAAGAGTGGGCTAACCCTGTATATAATTTTTGTAACATATAATTTATATGATATACACATATAAATGCACACATATACAAATTACCCTTATTCTCATTTTATAGATGTAGGAACTAAAATTCAGGCAATTGAAGCCATTTCCCCCCCCCATATCTTATGGTATTGGGTGGTCAAATATTCCAAAGGAACCTTTTACCTCTCTAATGATAGAAAATGCTTTGCATTTCAGTTGTGTCTGTATTAAGCACAGCTTTTGTTCAAAGAATACATCCTGCTTCTTTCATGAATACAGGCTTCGATATTCTTTATGTATAAGAATACATGAAAACTTTCTGGAAACCTGCGTTCTAAAGATAATGCTTATGTATCTTTCATGTTATGCTTCACTTATTTGGTTTAGATACAGACATTATAAAATCATTTTAAGGAACTTACATTTTCTTTGTAAGGTATATAACATCCAAATCAGATCAGCAAACTATAGCTTGTAAATTTGACTTTGTAAATAAAGTTTTATGGGAAATGGCCACGCTCATTTGTTTATATGTCACTTATAATAGGAAAGTTGAGTGGTGGGAGTTGAGTAGTTGCCACACCGTAGAGCCCCTGTGCCTTACTATTTGGTTCTTTACAGAAAAACTTTTTGAACCTTGATCTATTGTAAATAATAAACCCTAAACTCTTAGGGAAAACTCAAAGAATAACCTGAAAAAAAAAAAGAAAAGAAAACAGCAAAGTCAGTATCTTTCTTCCTAACAAGCGTGACTTTCAGTAACCTTTATTTATTGTACATGCTTTTCAATTCTGTCCTTGAAATATTAAGTCTCCGATAGGCCCAGATTACAAGGGGCAGCCTATCCAGAGAAAAAACTCAGCAGTGGGAGTCTGAGAACCTGGGTCATATTCTCACATGCTGCAGTCAATTCACCTATGACTGTGGGTAGTTCTAACTGCTTTGGGTCCTTGTTTCATTATCAGTAAAACACTAATTCAGATGGAAAAGCTACAGCAGTATCATTTTAGTATTGTGTCATCTTCATACTTCATGCTGCCCAATAATTGATTTTACAAGGTAATCCTGTTTTGTAACTTTGCTTATCTTAGTGTTGGTAGTTTGTGGTGTTCTGTTTTGGTTTGGTTTGTTTGGTTGGCTGGTTTTGTTTTTAACATGAACTAAATGGACACCCTGAGATAAAGAACTGCACTGTCGCTCACCATCTTACTTTATTTCTGATGACGTTCACTCTGGGCTTTTAGAACTGCAACTATGACCTTTCCTGGTATTATGCAAGAGGCCAGATGTCCTGTTCTGAAAGTGCCTGAGCCACAAATTGTATGATGTACTCTTTCTACTCCATGCTTAGACTGAGGCTTTTGTTCCTTCTGTCTACTTTCTGATGTTAATGTTGTTTGAACATAGATTTTCACGGTTATGATTTCTAGATGACTATTTCATTCCCCTTTCCATTACTCAGGGAATGATAAATACACTGTTGATGTGAGATACTGCAGCATAGTGGTGTAGACATACCTGGGTTCAAGTCCATACTCTTTTTATTTACTAGCTGGTTGACCAAATTATTTAACTTCCCTATATGTTTTTTTTTTTATTTGTATAAACTGTGAATAATAATAGTATCTTCCAGGGAATTGCTATAAAGAATTTATTTACTTACTTATTTTTGGAGAGGTTTTTGCTATAGGGTATGTATGCTCACCAGAAAGACAGAGACAGAAAGACAAAAAGCAAGAAATCACCCCCCAGGAGGGATGGCCACATTGCAATCCCTTCTCCTCCATTCTCCTCTCAGGATCTTGGGCATGCATACACACGTGCCCAGTGTGAGTTTAAGATACCTGGTCAGGGACTCGAACTGTGGTTGACTACATGGGAGTCCAACGACATAGCCATTATGCCAAATGCTGGTCCCACTATAAAGAATTTAAAAGATAGTTCTACGTAAAGTGCTTCAGCACGATACATAGCTCTCAATAAGGGCTTAATAAACTGATTTTATTATTAGCTGATTTTACTATTAAAATCAATAACATTACTGTTTCTTTAAATGAATTTTAAGGTCTTTTAAAAATAGTTTATTTTATTTATTATTATTTTTAAATTTTGCTATAAGCACATGTATTCACCACAGAGAGACAAAGAGAGAGAGGGAGAGGGCAACTGAGAAAGCAAGCTGCCAGCTCTGTGACTTGAATCATAGTTAGCCATGTGGAAGTGCAGGGCCTTATCCACCAGGCCACCTATTGACCCAGTAACATTACTATTTATAATATTGTTGTGAGATTTAACAAGCAGAAGTACTAATCATGTGTAAATATAAACAACAAAGCCTTCACTGAAATAGGTTATATCCATGGCATTCTTGAAATTAGCAGAAATACTGTTTGATAAGATGTACCTGTTAAAAAAAATTTAAGAGAGGGACCAGCAGTTAGCGTAATGGCTATGTTGCTGGACTCCCATGTAGTTGACCGCGGTTTGTGTCCCGGACCCGGTGGCTTGAACCTCACACTGGGCGCGTGTGCGTGTGTGCCCAAGATCCCGAGAGGAGAATGGAGGAGAAGGGATTGCGGCGTGGCCATCCCCCCAGGGGGGTGATTTCTCGCTTTCTGTCTCTCTGTCTCTCTCTGTCTGGCGAGCGCACACACCCTATAGCAAAAAACCTCTCCAAAAAAAAAGAGAAAAAATTAAGAGAAAATCATATCTTTTAGCTGATTTCTGAAAAATCAAATGAAACAGATAATAATGCATTATGATGATTAAAAAAAAGAAAGAATGTCTTCAGATAGAGCCTGAAATAATTCCCCAGCTGCGGCATGAATAAAGGAAATAAATGACTGGCTTGAGGTTAGAGCAGAATTCCTTAGTATGATTCACAAGGGACTGGAAACCCCAGCCCCATATTTTCCCACTCTATCTTGGTTAGAAAAATTTACATCAGGATAGCATTACACTCTTGAGGTCATTTTCTTAAAAAAAAAAAAAGTATATTCATATTTTTAAATTTAGATATTAACTATGTAATCTTGGGGCAGTTCCCAGTTTTTAAAAAAGCCCCCCCCCTTTTTTTTGAGAGAGAGGCTTTTTTTATTTTTGCTATAGGGCTTGTGTGCTCACCAGAAAGACAGAGAGAGAGAGAAAGAGAGAGAGAAACTGAGAAATCATCCCTTAGGGGAGATGACCATGCCACAGTTCCTTCTCTCCATTCTCCTCTTGGGATCTTGGGCACGCACACACACATGACCTGTGTGAGTTTAAGCCACCGGGTCTGGGACTTGAACCGTGGTCGACTACATGAGAGTCCAGCGACATAGCTATTACACCAACTGCTGTCCCCAAAAAGGCCCCAAATTTTTGATGGGTTTATTTGACAAACTTTCTGGGAGTTTGTCCTTAGGACTCAGAATAGATATTTCTGGTTCCTGTATTTGACTGGCAAATTTAGTGATTATATTACTTTGTATGTATTTGTAATTTTGGCTACAATAATTCTTTGATAACTGGAGGATAATATTTTCCATTGTTCCTTGTTATCCTCAAAATAAAACAAGGGGGCAGTCTTCAGGCTTATCCTTACCTTTATTTTTGATAAAGCACTGCTGAGGATTGATTTACTTTGATTTAATTGGCTGTTGTTCCAAATTAATCCCTTTTTGTGGACTGAAAACGGGGAGCACTACAAAGGAGCAAAACTACTGTGGCTTCAGTGTTTGGAAAATATGAAAGTGTCACGTTTAAAGATACTCATTTTAATTAGGCCCAATACTAAATGTGTTGAGAGGGTAGTTTCCTGTTTTGCTCTATGCAGAACATTAAGTTCAGGTGTTGCCATTTTCTGAAATTCTGACCTGTTATTTATAGTTTTCATTTTTACTGATGGCTATAAAATGTGTGTATAAGAAATACATGTATTAGAAAATATGTATCTCTGCTATTTTTTATAATAATTTTTATTATTCATAAAAATTTAGCAAGAACCTAGCAACTGTAAAGTGATAGAGAAATTTCAGGTTGAGCGATTTTTTTTGTTTTGTTTTGTTTTGTTTTTAAAGAGAATTTTTAGCTATAGGAAGCATGCACACTTCAGAGAGATAGAGAGAGACAGAGAGAAAGAAAACGAGAAATCACCCCCTGGGGGATTGGTCACACCACAGTCCTCTCTCCTCCATTCTCTTCTTGGAATTTTGGGTATGCACATACACGTGCCCAGCATGAGTTAAGTTACCATGTCTGGGACTCGAACTGTGGTCGACTGCATGGGAGTCCAGCAACATAACCATTTCTCCATCTGCTGGTCCCTCAGGTTGAGTTTTTAACTTGCAGATCACAACTTATTAATGTTTTATGAAATCAGCATATATTTTAATTATTTATTTAATTCTATTTATTATTATTATTTTTAAAAAATAATTATTATTAAATTTTCCATAGGGCACTTATGCTCACCAGAAAGAGACTGAGAGAGAGGGGAAAAGTGAGAAAGCAAGCTGTAGGTGTGGGACTCGAACTGCAGTCAGCAATGTGGAAGTCCAGCACCTTACCCACCACACCACCTGATGGCCCCAAGAGTCAGTCATTTTTTAAAACATAGACTGAAAAGAAATAAAATTTAAAATATCGAAGTACATTACTAGTACTATTGGTTTGTAAAATTTTGTTTATGTATGTATTTTATATACTTAAACCATATATGTTGAGTTGTGATAGAATCTTGCTCTAGGTTGTGATTTATAAGAACAATTTGCAATCCACAATTTTAATTTATCTTTCTGTCCCTGGTAATGGGTCCAAGTTATTTAGTCTCTGTTTCTATATCTGAGGGAAGTTGTGGTGATAAATATGTATACTAACTTTTTTAGAATATGATAATAACTAAGTCCCAGAAACTAATACATTGTCTCATTATAGTGATATTAGATTTTTCTCATGTTTTGTTTTATGTTATTTGTTTGTTTTTGGGTTTGTGTATATTTCCAATCTTTTTATTTTAGAAAATATTGATGCTGATGGACAGGGATTTTGTCAAGGAGGATTCAGCATTGATTTTACTAAAGTAAGTTCTCATTTAAGACTGAATGAGATTCAGATCTACTTTATCAACTAAACTATGGTTAAAATCTAAACTGCTCAATACTTAAGTTTCTTTATAATTTTATAGTTATTTAACAAAAACAGCTAATAAAACAAGTTACTTCTTTTGACATCTTTGCATTACATATACTCTCCCTAAGTAAACATTGCTTATTTGAAATAGGGAAACATCACAATGGGAATGAAAGAAAGTAGAGAATTTCCTCAGTTAATGATAGTTAACTATTACAACTTAATATCAGGATTTCCAGTTATATAAATTTAGAGAATGTTAACACTTCTGTTATCAACTGAATTTGTTTTTTCACAAAAGCTATCAATTCCCATTTTACAATTTTACAATTAGGTTTTAGTTACTTAAGAGCTGAGAAATGTGCATATTCACCATCTATATATTATGGGCCCACAGGCACCAAGTAAAACTGAAGTTGTAGGAAATCTCATAGCCAAGGCTCTGTGTATTTTTTTTTTTAAGAATTATTATTTATTTTAATTTTATTTATTATAATTATTTTTAATTTGCTATAGGGCACATGCACTCACCAGAGAGCGAGAGAGGGAGTTGGGGGTGGGGGGTGGAGAGAAAGAGAGAGAGAGAGAGAGAGAGAGAGAGAGAGAGAGAGGAACAGAGAGGAAGTGAGCAAACAAGCCACCAGGACTGGAACTAGAACCCTTGGCCATATAGGAATCTAGCACCGTAACCACCACACCACCTGCTGGCCCCAGCTCCATGTATTTTAACTAAACTAGCATGCTCTTCCACATTGATAGTTTAATCTGTTTTTCTAAATAATTCCGTTATATTCAAAGGCAAATTTTCTTAAATACTTTAAATGCCTTCTGTGTGTTTATATTTTTGGTGGGGTTACTTTCATTTTAAATAACAAATTGAGAATATTAATTCCTCCTAGAGAAGTCCCCCAAATGTATTGACTGACTAAAAGTAGAGCTTTCTTAGAAAGCTTACTTTGGTTTCTTAGAAAATATGAACAAATAGGAGTGCCTAATTTTTATGGAAACAACAAAAGCTGAGAAGTAATTATGAGATGAGATGCAGAGAAGTAATAAACTCTTTTATTTTTAAAATTGGTATTTTATCTTTATTTTTATTTTATGAATATTTTTCTAAACTAGATATTGGTAATTATAGTGAACTCTCCTTCCTAGATAATTTTTTAATCCACCTAGTCTCATTTATATTACTCATAAACTTACATGATAATATATTTTCACATAGGTGTTATATTAAAAAGAATGTGTCCATAGTTTTTGTACTCGTGCCTATACAGTTGTAACCCCAGAAGTACTCTTACCTGTGGAAGTCATTGCTAAATTAACTATTCCCTTTCTTAACCCCAATTCTGAGAATACAGTGTTATTTCCAGGCTGATAACTTAGACGTGGTTTTTATAGTCAGAACTGGGATTGTCTGTTGGAAAAACGTTTTATCCCCATACCTTCAACAAGCAGAAGTTTGTGCTTGCACACAAAATACCTTGAATAATTTTAGTTTCTTAACAGCCATAAGAAATGCTAGTGAAGCGCTCTGAAAATGCCCTCTAGCTTCACTCCTGTTTAGATCTGTGAAACACTAAAAAGAGTTTTCCCTTAGCAGCAAACAACTGAATAATTACTAGAAAGAAAATTTGGTTTATGCAGTCATATCTAATATTTGAAATTGAAAAGTGATCTTTTTTCCTTATTGTAACCAGTAATAATTTGCACTAGTAATTCATTCTAAATGTGTGAAGCACCCAAGATTCACAATGAAAAAATACATTTTTATATTTTCATGTATTAAGTGAGTGTGTTATTTTATTTTTTTTGAGAGGTTTTTGCTATAGGGCTCATGCACTCGCCAGAGAGAGAGAGACAGAAAGACAGAAAGCGAGAAATCACCCCTCCAGTGGGGATGGCCACGCCACAATCCCTTCTCCTCCATTCTCCTCTCGGGATCTTGGGCATGCACGCACACGCGCCCGGCGTGAGTTTTAAGCCACCGGGTCCAGGACGTGAACCGCGGTCGACTACATGGGAGTCCAGCGACATAGCCATTACGCTCACTGCTGGTCCCGTGAGTGCATTATTAACTTTACTTTTTAATTTTACTTTAGAAAGGGTACAATGAAAACTACTGGCTAAGATTAATTGGAGATTTATAATTTGCTTTGATTTTTGTGTATATATCTGTCATTTATATGTATTATAGATATACCTGCCTTTTATGTATATTACTTCTATTTCCTTAAGTATATTATTTATGTACACTATGTATATTACTTCTATTTCTTTTTATAAAGCTTCTGGATTTTAAGTACATATCTTTTTGTTGTTTGATTCAATCTAGGCTGACAGAGTTCTTCTTGGTGGTCCTGGCAGCTTTTATTGGCAAGGTAGGTTAATATTTTTAAAATCACTGATATTGAATGTGTGTCTGATTTCCCTCGTTTATGTGTGTATGACAGTTTTTAAATTATTTTAAAGAAAGAAATGGGGGTCAGCAGATGGTATAGTGGCTAAGGTGCTGGACTCCTACATGGCCAAGCATGGTTCAAGTCCTGGACCTGGTGGCTTGAAAGCCACCCTAGCATGTGTGCATGCATGTCCAAAATCCCAAACAGGAGAATGGAGGAGAACTGTGGAGGGGCCATCCCCCCGCCGGGGAGAGATTTCTTACTTCCCCTCTCACTGTGTCTGTCTGTTTCTCTCTGGTGAGTGCATGTAACCTATGACAAAAACCTTAAAACAAAGAAAAGAAAGAAATGGAAAATACAAACACCTTGTTACACAATATTTTTTAAGGGAATATAACATAATATGTAATATAACATTAAATATGTATGTATTTCTAGTAGAAAATAAGCTGAATATTTTTAAAAGTAAATTATAAAGTAAGTAATTTAAAATGATACTTTTCTTCAGGGTGTGGTACTGTACTTGTCCATGCCTGTACTCCAGACACCATGCTGCATAATTAGGAAGTGCATGGAAGCAGACTCAGTCTATATAAATAAATACAAAAAAATAATTTGAAATTGCTCATTAGAATACTTAACGATTAATGACTGGCAGGATGAGGGATCTGTTTAGGTATGTGGGGACTTTTGAAAAATAGAGGATTTTATTAAATTAAAAAAAACATAATTAAGCTGACATTTTGATATAAAGGTAAAACACTATACTTTTTAGTCATCCTGGGAAACCTAGTTTAGTTATGATTTGAACAAATAATATCAGATCATTATTGCTGACAGTTTGAAAATAGGTCACTAAATCTGTTTATTTGCTTTATGTTTCATTTGTCATTAGAGATATCGATTTATTCACTTAGTCAATGTATTGACATGCTTAGTTTCTGCTAAAAGTGCTGTTTACAGGGTCAGAACTCTTGCTAGCATTCTGGTATTTATGCATTGTCCATATTTAGAATAACTGGAAAACCTGTTAGTATATTGACTTGAAAGAACTTTTTAATTCAAATCTTTCTTTTGTATTGTATGCTGTGCTTTCCTTACTTGCCTCTTCATTGGGTAGCCATGATTTCGCTCTATGGAAAGGGAAGCTAAAAAAGAGATTTAATAAGCAAACAGGATTAAAGGAGAACTGGGAGGAATGATAAATAAGAGTAGGTAAAAAATTGAAAGGGAAGGCAAAAGAAAAAAAGATGAAAACTCAGGTGTCAAAGACAGGGATCAGTATGTGAGACATACTAACTAAAACTGAACAGTTTTAATTCTGTGAATTATGCATCTTTTGTGGAATAAAATTATGTAGGAAAATTATAATCATTTTACTTTTTTTTTGTTTTTTTTTTACGTTTTGCCATAGGGTGCATATGTTCATCAGAGAGACAGAAACAGAGAGAAGGAAAGTGAGAAATCACTCCCTGAGAGGATGGGTACACAGCAATCCTCCTTCTCCATTCTCCTATCAGGATTCTGACAGGTGTGCACAAGTGCCCAGTGTGATTTTCAAGCTACCAGGTCCCGGACTTAAACCAGGGTCAGCCATGTGGGAATTTAGCGCCTTACCCACAGTGCTGCCTGTTAGTCCCATAATTTTACTGTTTTAAGACAAAAATAGAAATTCTGAACACTGGCCCTTCAGCCTAGTGGTTAATGAACTGGATACCACATGCTGACCACTGATTGAATCCTGGCCCAGAAGGCATGAAAAACATCCAACCTGATGGAGAAATGTAGAAGGGATGATGGTCTGACCACAGTCTTAGAGAGTGCTTTCTCCTTCTTTTTATCTCTCAGATGAAGTATGTGCCCTCTGGCAGTTAAAATACATACATGTAAGAAATAACAGTCAAAAAATGCATGAGAGGACAGGGAATATTAATACTTTCTAGTCAGATACAAAAGCAAGGATTTATTTTTCTTCCTTATTTCTGAGTCCATTGTTCTAGTTGCGGGGCAAAAATTCTCTGATAGTGCTTGGAAACCGGTCAGAACTGCCTGTTAACTATCTGTTTAGGAGACAGTTGTGAACACATTTAAATGCTCTTTTAATATCTTGGGTAGTACACAATTTTTGTATACATTCTTAGTTATTGGGTCACTGGAAAAGCCATGACGCAGTTTTGCATGAAGAAAATACATCATGACTTATGACATATAAAATATGTAACTAAAAGACTGAATTAACAGAATATTTTGTTTTAAAAGATTAAAATTAGTAAGTTTCACTCTGGATAAGTAAGTGTATTAGAATGAATTTTCCCCCTAGATCTCAAAATTCTCTCTGTGACAGTGAAGAAAATGATCATACTGTTTTATTCTAAAGAGATAATGAATATTCCTATGTTCTTTGACTCAAGAAATAATTATTTCTCCTGTTTTTTTTTTTTTTTTTTTTTTTTTTTTTGGGGTTTTTTCTCTAGGGGG